GCACAAAGCCCGCCGTCCCGGGGCCGGAGGGCCGGGGAGCCGCTGCTGCCGCAGGTAGGCACCGCTGGAGCCTTTCGCTGGGGAGGAGGGTTGCAGGCTCTGCAAGTGCTTTCATGCTCCGCCAGCTTTCTCATCTCTGCATGTTTTATTACTTTTGGAATGGAAATAGAAATGATGGTGGCACTCTGAAATCCCCCCACTGTGTAGGCAATTCCTTGCCATGCCTGGTGGGCACCTCTGTACAGCTTCAGGAAACCTGCTGTTAGTGACAAGTAGGACACACGACAGCTCTAGGTACAGAGGTCCTCCCTGAAATGAAGGATCCATGATACAAACCTAAGGGTGGAGAGACCCTTGTGAAGAAGAGGAAATGGCCGAATGGGACTATGGAGCCTGCAGCCAGAAAATGATCGCCCCAGATTAATTGGTTTTTAGTTTATGATGTTCAGGTGAACTTCAACTGCTAATGAAACCTTAGCGTTTCTGCTGGTCTTTAATGGCGCTCCCACTCCTCCTGCCGAGCTGTGTCCCTGTGCGGGTGACCAGGAGCGTGGCCTGCCATTGCCAGGGACACGAAGAACTGCGCAGGAGCTGGGGAAATGCACCCCCTCCCACCGCCCTGTCTGCCCAGCCTCTTGCTGGAGGGTCGTCGCTCAGTCCCATGATCCCCCCCGTTATAACCACAAACTAAAACAAGTCACCAAAGCATTGGTTTCATGGTAGCCGGCATTTTTTTCCCTTTATTTATTGTGAAAGAATATGGCAGCCCAGATTTGATCCAACCGATAAAGATTGCACAGACATTAAATTTCCGCCCTTTGGCCAAGTAGAAAGCCAATAGCTCTTTATATTACTATGGTTTTTAAATGGTGAAACTCCTGGGGAGGGAGGGAATACTTTGTTGTACTTATTGAAATTGATAACACAAGCTCCATATCCTTAGGCTGACAAATGATACCCTGGTCTTTTGTTCCACACACTAATTTTGCTTGTTTCACGCTGGTCACTAGCAGATGGTCTTGTACTTAAATCACGTTAGTGGCTGATAGGAAGTAAAGGATCATTAAATTATTAACATCTATATTGTTTTCAGTAAACTGCTGAGGATTTTAAGTATTTCTCTCTGTGCTAGCTAAGATGGCAACCAGCCTTACTAGCCTGTATTGCTATATATACTCATAATACCATTGTTTTAAATGGTATTTAAAGAATATGGTTGGCTGTGATACGCCACTATGGAACAAAAGTGCATTTTTTGATTCAAGTTTATCTACTTGAAAGGGATATTAATCTAAATGGTTTGAGTATTAAATCAATGGGAAGTCAAGGGAAAGTCCTCCAGTTTAAATTGCATTTACCAACTACTGTATTGGTTTTACCATTTAGTATCTAACCTGACATAAATTTAGCTGGCAGACAAATAGATTGGAGCATGCAAATTCTTCCCATTACTGCTACTTTTTATTGTCCACCTTCGTATAAAATATAGCACAACAACTGCTGGGTTTATGTTCCAAGGAGGGATCTTCTTACTTTTTTATGTTTTACTGTTTCCTACAGGGCAGAGTTCAGCTAGAGCAGGGCTCACTCACGATAACGAACATCAGCCTGTCGGATGCTGGCATGTATCAGTGTGTAGCGGAAAACAGACATGGCATCATTTTTGCCAGTGCAGAACTGAGTGTCATAGGTAAGTTTACTTTCCTGAGTGCTGCAAACCTTCCAAAACCAGCAAAGCCTTCACCCAAGCTGGTTTTGTCAAGTTTCAGCATCTGAAGCAGAAGTGCTACTGAGTATCTTTGACAATTTGTTTTTAAGTAAGGCATAAAAGGAAAACTTGAGAAAGTGGATAGACAGAGAACAGATTTTTTTACATCATCCCATCTTCCCATATTCATCCAGGTGACTGAGCATGGAGATCTGGCAAGCTTATCAACTTGCTGGTCAGAAATGTTTATGGAAAAACCCGAGTATTGCAGTTCAGAGCATACTGGACAGTAACTGCCTGCTCGTGGGCTGCAGAGACTGACTCTCTTGAGGAAATGATGAAAAACCACCTGTCTGAATAGACCTTTCACCATTCTAATGGCAATCGTAATGCTCCCGTCCCAAACCCTCGCCAAGAAAAACAACTTCTTCCCCACCTGTTTCGTGTACACCTACTGTACTTGTCCCAGTTAATATCAGGAGAAGCTCCTGTGAATCCAGGTGGTTAAATACCTGATGGGAGGGAGTAGAGATTACAGAGCCAGGCTCTTCTCAGTGGTGCCCAGTGCCAGGACAAGAGGCAGTGGGCACAAACTGAAACAAAGGAAATGCCATTTAAACATAAGAAAAACTTCTTTACTGTGAGGTTGGTTGAACGCTAGAACAGGTGGCCCAGAGAGATTGTGGCATCTCCATCCTTGGAGATACCCAACATCCAACTGGACATGGCCCCAAGCAACCTGCTGTAGCTGCCCCTGCTTGAGCAGGGGTGGGACAGGACCATCTCCAGAGGTCCCTGCCAGCCTCAGCTGTCCTGCGAGTCTGTACCTCATTGACAAACGTTGCTCTCGTACGAGTGGCACGCCTGGAAACCGATACGTCAGCATAGATATGTAGTTTCAAAGGGTTAAATAGAATTCATGGTTACAAAATAGTGGTTTAGTTGTTTTCAAAGTAAATGTTCAATAGCATCATTCCCCACTTTATCCTGAAGAACAAAGCATGAGGTCTTTTCTGATTACGGCATTTTCAATTATTGGTCATTATTTATCAGCAGCAATAGATACCTGCATAGGAAAAAAATTCATCTGAAAGATTGTCAGTGGTGCTGTTCAAGAAAAGTACAATAATGCTCAATAAATTAGACTTCACAGTGCTAAGATTTATTGGACGTGTTACTGCGTGAAAGAAATCGAAATAAACCCACTGATGCTTTTCCTGCCTATTCAAAACCCTGGTAAAAATGAGCCTTTGGGAGGAAGGCAGATCTTCTCAGAAGACAGAGGCTTAGCCCTTGTTGGTGGGTACCTCCAGTGCCTCCCCTTGCCCGCCAGCCCCGCAGCACCCAGGGGCCGACCTCATGTCTGCACAAAAAGCAAACACCTTGGAGACCCTGCTCTTAAAAACCTGCCAGATAACTTGTATTTGGCTGACTTCTCGTTTGGGTTATGCAATCTTGCTTCTGTATATCATGTGAAAAGTACCGGAATGGTGTGCTGCAGGTTAATGTCTATGGATCTGTGATGTAATTTGGCATATTTTTAAAGAAAAACAGCATGTTTTCCTTTTCACTAGGGTTTTCAAAGGAGGTCAATATTCTGAGATCTCACTGAGAAATGTTAGCTTTTAAACAGATCTTTCTGAGTATAAAAATGCTTATTTTAAAAGGTCCTGAAGTTAAGCACTTGAAATGATTAAACACCACTAATAGCAAGTGAGACTTACAGCAAAATTAAGTGAAAAAGAGAAATGGAAAATTACAGACAGAGCTTTTCTCAGAGTGATTCTTCTTTATTATTGTTGCCAATTATATTGCCTGGAGTCTTCCGCTAAAACCTGGATCCTGCTGTGCTGGGCATTGTAAAAACGTACAGTGAGATGCAGTCATTGGCTTAAAAGAGTTTTCAGGCTAAATGTTTTTAAAAAAAAAAAAAAAAAAAGGAAGGGTGGGCTTAGAGTAAAAAAAAAGTAATTAAAATCCTCATTTTACAAACAAGGTGTGAAGAAATTAAGTGCCTTACCCCTGAAGTGGCACAGGGAAGCTGTGGTAGTGCTGAGAACTGAGCCCACGGTTTCTAATTTGAACGTCACAGAATAAAACCCATATTGTGCAACTCCTCTACCTCACGCAGGACCAAGAAGCAAGTAGCAAATGACTTGTAAAAAACCCAGTCTAAACTGTTCGCTGCAGAGATGGAAATAACAGGATTATTCAAAAATCTATTTTGCTTATAAATTTTGGACAACCATCTGAGAAATTATTGCCAGAAGTGATAATGTATTAATTATGATAATGAGATATAAATAATAATCCATCTGGTTTTGAGTGCGTTGGTGGGAAGTGGTCCTCAGGATGCCTCCTTTAATTGTGAAATGTTTTACATAGCCAGTGTTGGTTTTCAGATGGCTCTTTTATGGTCTTTAATAACATACATGTTTTTCTCTATGAAGTCAACTGTCTATGATTAGACGTAGAAGACAAGACAGCTTAGAGATTAGTGAACTCTGATTCATAAAAGTGGAAGACGAGATCTATTCAATCATACAGCCCAACCCGTTATCAGTGTAGTATTATGTTTTATCCAACTCTTTTGTGACAGGAATGATATCCAAAGGAATTGAGGCAGATGAGATGCCCCAAGAAAAAATAATTTGCTTTCTCTATCACACGGCAGGTTTTGTCTCCCAGCTGCTTTAGGTGAGCTTTAGATCATTTTATGGAGCATCAAGCAGATGCAATGCACAGCAGTCTAAACTCTCACCTCCCAGGGTGCAGCAAGAAAGTAAGTCGAGGAAAATGCTGCAAGCTCGGGGGATACGGGGATGGGGCAGGAGGTGCAGGGTGCAGGCACACGGCTAGCAAAGAGGATGGAGAGAATTAGAAGGGACTGGGCAGAGTTTGCTGCCACTGATCTGTCATAAAGCAAGCTCCTCTCAGCAAAGACGTAGCGAGCCGGGCAAGAGTTGTTCATAAAACCCTTAAGCTGGCTCACCTGTTTGCTCAGAGCTTTCTATATTGAAAAAATTAATTGTCCTACTTTGATATAAATAAGACCTTCTGGTCGTCTTTGGGGAGTTCACTCCCAGAGTCAGTCTAGAGGCAGCCGCCTCAAAGCTCTGCCTGTCACCGGGTCCCATCAAATAAATCATTAAAAATCCTTTGAGGCAGGAATCAGAAGCCAAACCATCTCCTCCCTCCCAGGCCTGCCTTACAGCCAGGCTGCAGATAGTCTGCAGGGCTTTGGTGTTTGCTTCAATGAATATCTGACTGTTTTTCACAAAACAGAAGAGTGTGCCCTGGAGGGACTAAGAAAGATGATTCGACAGTACCTTATACCCTGGTGCCTGCTTAAGTTTTGCTTTGTTTTGCTTGGTTCAGGACCTGGCCATGTCAAGGTCTCCCAGCCTTACAGCATGAAAATAAAAGACCCTGTTTATGCAACAACTGTGAATATAAAGCATAAAAATGTCAGCTTTTCTGGAAATACTAACATTTCTGATTAATTGTATGGGTTCTGTGTTTGTGACAATTTTCCTGTTTGCTGTTGCTCTGCACATAGCAATGTTCGACAAAATGATGATCACGCTGTTATGACACAAAAAAGGAAAGACATTACGCAGTTCATGCAGGCGCAGCTCTTAGGGATGCTGCCCCAAATAAGATGTGTGTGACACCAGCATTCTGCTGCCTGCCAAGGTTACTGGTTTCTGAGGTTTGTAGCTGAACATGCATTTCTAAACAAGTAAAGAGCTGAAGCATTCAGGTGTCTGTTCGCCCCGTCCATATGTGCATAGAGTTCATAAAGTCTCATTATTTAGGAATTGCAGGTGAGAAGCAGCCCTGGTATATTGTAATGTTCAAAAGAGCCTGACTTTGGTTTTTCCAGAGGGAATTCTGATCTGTTGTGGTTTGTTCTTTTTCTTTCAGCCATCGGTCCAGACTTTTCCAAAACGCTCTTGAAAAAGTTAACTCTTGTTAAAGTGGGTGGTGAAGTAATCATTGAGTGTAAGCCGAAAGCTTCCCCCAGACCTACTTATTCTTGGAAGAAAGGAAAAGACATCCTAAGAGAAAATGAGAGGTAATGTCTTAAAGTAACCATTTCTTTCATTAGCTTGCTCCAACCCAGGGGCTTTCAGCAATGAAAGCTAAATTTGTCATTAATAGCTTCCCAAAATTGACTTGCAAATAAATGTGAAAACAGCTAGTGTTCAATCTCAAGGAGCTGGGGGTGAGATTTCTATTCCCATTGTGTTCATCCCAGTCTCTGTGTACTATTAAAGCATCCCTGCCAAGAAGCTGATAAAGATACATTCTAAAAAGCAACTATTTTGCCTCTGCATTGCTCTAAATAGCCATTGTTTTTCAAAAAATTTCCCAGGAGATAAAACCCTCCACTGCAAATTACACTGCTGCTCTGGTACATTACTCAGTGTCCCACAAACAGGAATTATTTGGGGTCGGTAATTAATTTGGCAGTCCTAATGCCTGACTTGGAGACGGCTTTTTCAGACTAGCCAAATTTTTTTTTTTCTTTTTTTTTTTAATTCGAAAAGAGAGCATTAGTAGGAAGTAGGAGCCTACTTTCCAAATTCGTATGCATGGTTTTGCAGTGATTTGTTGTTGACTGTGTAGAGGTGCAGTTGTGTTACCTGTGGCACTTGTGCAATGCCTGAGAGCAGGATCTGGAAAGCTGTCTTTGACAGTCCTCCAAAATATCATACACCACTTGGATTGATGGGAAAAATCCTGTCCTGTTAGTAAAGGTCAAAAAGCCAGAAATTACAGGAAATTGTTATTTTTAAAAGCTTAAACCTGTTAGAGCTGTTCTTTTATCTTGGAAAGTCTAGTCTTGCTCCATCCAACCTGCCTGCCTGTAATGGACATTGAAATATATACTATGGTGATGTATACAAGTATGCAAAAAGCTGTAGTTCATTTAGAGCCAGATGAATAAGATAATGAACAACCTATTTCTGACTTATTTAGGTCCTGCTACCTGGTCTTTACAAAGCTATTGTCTGTGGACCGTTCGACTTAATCTCTTGGGATAAAAAGAGTTGGGTGATGAATTACACAGAGCTTCCTCTAGCAGCCAGGGTACAAAGCTGTGCGAGGTCAAAGTTATAATAGATCAAGGTATATTGATTTTTAAAACTGAAATAACTTGTTCTTCTGGTGAAGATTGTGCAAAGGATGGGAAGTATTAAATACTGGAAGTTTTGGAGTCTCAGCCCCATGAGCTTCTATCTGTCTCCCCGTCCTCGCTGGCACAAGCTGAAAGTGCTGTTTTGTCTGACGCTGTTCTCCTAGGCATGGCACAGTCCTCATTTTAATTCAGGAGTGAGAGAGAAAGCATTAGTTTATTTGAGCAGGGGCTTAGGAAAGGAAAGAAATGTGAGTGACTGTGTTTCTTGCTTGGTCACTGCTGTGCAATGCTGACAAAGTGATTTTATTTTTTTTTAGCACTACTCTCTCATCTGCAGACTTACCTAAAAGTTGGATGCTGTAATACAGCAGAAACCCCTGGATCCTGATTTCCCAAGGGAATGTGGCTATTGCACTGGTAGCACAAGGCTAGGTGGCAGCTCAAGTTGCCTGTGTGTTTACTTACAAATAACTTTTGAACTGGTTATTTGAACTGGCTGTAGATGTTTCAGCTGGTTTCCACCAAGGTTAAGAGAGGAAGAGATCCACCTCAACAATAGCAGGTTTCTTCAAAGCTTTGTGAAAGTAGGTACCTGGGAAAAGGAGACACTATTATTTGCCCTCAGTGAAACCCTGTCACCTAAAGTCATGCGATGGTAGACATGAGGCAGTCCACACCAGAGCACCCCTGAAGGGTGCACACATCTGTGTAAGGTAGGGTAAGGCTGTGCCTACAGCGTTTTCCTGACCGACCTTCTCCTGAGGCATATAGGCAAGAGGCAGGTATAGTCATAACAATTTGCTAAATAGTATATACCTTGCTGTCTGCTGGTCACAGTCCCCATGCCCAGGCAGACTTTAGGCAGTGGCTTGGGAGGAGGGGTTGTGAGTACAACACAGTCTTCTGAGCAGCTCAGTGTTGAGCTCAAATGCAAACCACAGCAAGGCTGAGGTGTTGGTGTTCATGGAAGCAGCAGTCTCGCTGCCGCGCTTCTTCTGCTCCTGCCGAGCATGCCACGCCAGAACTGGGAGCCTCCCACCTGGGCACCAAGCCCTGGATGGGAAACCAGACGTGAAATGTGCCCAAGCAGGTGTGAAATTTTCTGCTACTTCAGCCCAGGGGTTTTTCTGCCAGCCGGATCATCCAGTGGGGCCTATCTGGCAAAATGTCTTAATGAACACCGCTCCGTTGACTTGGCAGTTGGACCTATTTAGTTCTTATACGCAGTTGGTTGTGTCTCCTGTGGGGATGAGGGTGTTGGATCCCCGCCATCGTCTTTATTAATCACACCATCCTTGCAGTCTGTACCTGGAGACTGTGTGAAATGCACAATTAGGAAATTATATTGTCTTCTATCATCATGGCATTGTTCATCAGCACTGTCTGACTTCACAGGCAGGAGAGGCCAAGTGCCTGGTCCTCTGCTTAACGTTGCTGTATTTCTGGTTTCTTCAGTTGCTGAAACGTTATCTCCTTCCTGCTGTCCCGGGGGACAGCAGCATTGACTGGAGTCCAGTACTAGTACCTTCCTACACCCACGCTTGTGTGTGGGCTTCAAACAAGAACTTTCTTGGCTGTTGAAAAAATCTGTTGAAATATAGTAAGAAAGATGCCAAGAAAAGCTGTTGCTGAAATCTCTTCATCTAGGACAGAATACAGAACTTTTAGACAGGCGTGGGAGGAGAAACTTAAATGAAATCTCTGGTTAAACTGCCATTAAAGAGTCCTTCGAGTTTCAGAGATGCACCTGAACATCTGGATACTTCTCCAAACTGAACTTGATCATGTGAAGGTTAATCAATATAGATGGTCCTTCCAATTCCAGATGGAGTTAAAAGCAACATTAATGTGTCAGTCCTTGCTTTGAATTCTGATGTGCAGCCTGACAGCTACCATGACAATCGCTCGAGGATTTCTCCTGGGGCTTGTGTGACTTTTTGGATGGAGTGTAATGTTAGGGACTCCTTGCTGGAGACAGAAAGAG